CTTGCATAGCCAGCTCCGGTGCTCATTGCTTCCACGTTGCGTCAGGTGGTATCAGAGCAGGGAATTCGCCCAGTCATGTCCAACCCAGACGGTAGCAGTCGCAACCCACCCCGTGACGGAGATCAGGGGTTTCCAGCTGTTTGGAGAGCAATCGAAGAACAGCGTACATCCACATGTAACATCGAGCAGCAGTTGGCAGAGATGGCTGAACAACTGCGAACCTTGTTACGGGAGGTTGTCCCACGGAATCGGGAAAATCCACAACAGATCGAAGGAGACAACCACGACAGACCACCCGTCGCTACTGCGTCCCGACATCCAGTTCTTGACGACGACAGTGATGATGATTTCGAATTTGGTGGGGTTCCAGTTCTTCCCGGCAACGACAGAAACGGTAGGAATTGACACAATTAAGGTAATTTCAATCCCCGTAGGAATAATGATGAATTTAAACTCAAGGTAGATATTCCTACTTTTAGTGGAGATCTTGGTATAGAGGGACTTCTAGATTGGATCACAGAAGTCGATAGGTTCTTTGATTACATGGAGATACCAGAGGAACGAAGGGTAAAACTRGTAGCTTTYCRRTTAAAGGGAGGCACATCTGTTTGGTGGGAACGGATGAGAGAGACCCGGATGAGAGAAGGAAGGGGTCCTGTTCGAACTTGGAGGCGCATGAAACAATTAATAAGAGGTAGATTTTTACCTCTTGACTATGAACAATATATGTTTGAATCTTATCAGAGGTGTGCGCAGGGTTCTCGTAGTGTTAACGAATATATATCTGAATTTTTGAGATTAGCTAAAAGAAACCAATTATCTGAAAGTGATAACCAGCAGGCAGCCCATTATCTAAGCGGTTTGAGACCGTCTATCAGAGACAAAATTGGTGTACAAATGGTTCTTAGTGTGCAGGAAGCAAGGAACTTAGCCTTAAAAGCAGAATTAATATTCCAAGACAAGGCACGCAGTGATAATTATCGCCGGTCCCGGTACAGCGGGAGCGACAATAGACCGGCAACTGTCGATAGGAACAAATCAGTCCCGGCAGTACAACCTTCTCACCCGGCAGGTACAAGTAACGCCAGTAAGGYTACTACAGGAGGACATACTCGAGGTAACCCTTCCAATCCTCCTAAACCCAGTAACCCTTATGCAAGGCCTGCTCCTATTAAATGTTTTAAATGTAATGAGGTTGGACATAGATCCAGTGACTGTCCCAGGAGGAAGGCAGTTAATATGGTAGAAAGGGAGGAGGAAGAAGATATTGAGGAAGAAGTATATTGTGGACCTGATGGGGAGGATGAAGAGGGTCCATATGAACATGAGGAGTATACTTGTGTGGTAAGAAAATTAATGTTGTCCCAGAAAAATAAGGATACTTCTCAAAGGCACAGATTATTTCGTACCAAATGTACTGTCAAGGGAAAATTATTTAATTTAAATATTGACAGTGGTAGCCAGGAAAATATTATTTGCAGGGATGTCATCCAACAATTACAGTTGATTCCTGAAAAACATCCCAACCCATACACAATTGGGTGGATCAAGGAAGGAGGCGGAGTACGAGTGGAAGAACGCTACAAGGTACCTTTTTCAATTGGTAAGTACCATGATGAGGCATATTGTGAAATTGTAGATATGGATGCTTGCCATATTTTGTTAGGGAGGCCTTGGCAATTTGATACAGATGCAAGGCACATGGGTAGGAAGAATACCTACCAACTTGAAAAAGAAGGTACACGTTATACTTTGTTACCCATAGCAAAAAAAAATATTACAAATACTCCAACGGCACATGAAAAGAATTTCCTTACCATCACCCATCATCATGATGAATTTGTTAACGAATGTAAGGATACTCATGAGATACATTTGTTAGTAGTAAAAAGAGAAGATGTTAGTGATGAAAATACGATTCTAGCTAAAATACAGGGACTACTGGATGAATTTAATGATGTAGTTCCAGAGGAGTTACCAAATGAACTCCATCCCATGAGAGATATACAACACCATATTGATTTTGTCCCAGGTGCTAGTCTACCTAACCTCCCAAATTACAAGATGAGTCCCAAGGAGAATGAAATCTTACGGGAAAAGGTAGAAGAATTATTGAAAAAGGGACACATTCAAATCAGCATGAGTCCTTGTGYAGTACCTGCCTTATTAACACCTAAGAAAGTTGGCAGTTGGAGAATGTGTGTCGACAGCAGGGCCATTAACAAGATCACCATTGGGTACAAATTTCCCATTCCTAGGCTGGACGACATGCT